CATATGCATGCCAAACATGGACTTATACAGAAAAAATAAAGAACAAAATCCTATCATGTCAGCATGCGATGGAAAGAAGTATCTTAAAGTTAAGAAAAATACAGAAAATAAGAAACACCGATATCAGGAAGAAAACCATAATAATAGATACTCTTCAGTATAGTATGAAACAGAAGTGGAGATGGGCAGGTCATATAGTGAGGTACAAAGGTAAAAGGTGGACTCTCCAAACAACAAAATGGCGAGGTCCAGCGGGAAAAAGAAATGTTGGAAGGCAAAGAAAGAAATGGGCAGATGACATAATAAATACAGCAGGAAAAAACTGGACAAGTATTGCTATAGATAAGGAGAAGTGGAAAAAGATGGAGGAGGCTTTTATCCTTGGGGACCACGGAAGTGGATAAAAAGCTATAATAATAATAAATAATAATATTGTTACTCTAAGTTAAATAATTTGATTGTAAGTACTAGCGATGTCATGAGCATTAGTTAAATCTTGTTTTTATTTATGAAAACCTGTAATGGGCTTTTTGTTCTTAGTGAATTTTTTTTAATTATAAAACTTTTCCAATTGTTGGTTTTTTCTTTAATAAAAAAATAAATAAAATAAATAAAGATTATACTAGCTAAGCGATACACATTAATCGTGACAGAAATAGTTACTATGTATTTTAAACAGTTTTCTGTCCATAATTACTGATAAAATAGACTGTTTCATCCTAAAATATTGGGTAGGACAGGTTCTAAAAAAAAGGTCTTGACCATTCATTTACTATTATAGATTAAGCAAATTATAACTAGCTAAAAGGACCTCTATATTGTCTTAACAAATAAATTATTATTTCTAACCACGTAAATAATAAGTATTATTCTATAAGTATAGGTGTGTGATGTAATCGATCAGCTGACGACCTTGCGGGTCGATGACCCGCGGAAGTAGGTCGAAGGGCGGAGAGGGCAAGGGCTGACTAAGGGCGCGTTAGCGGTGGCGGAATAGCGGAATGGCTGTAGCGGTTGCGTGCTTACAAGAATTATTCGCCTGAGGAATAATACTGGATACTAATTTAGGGGTAAATCAAAATTCAGACTAAGAAGGCTTGTTTTATTTACAATTTGAATGTTTTAAGCTCTGCGTATGACGACGAATGTTTTTCATACTTCCTTGATTGTAGTTTACATGATTAATATATGTATATAGGGGGGAAAAGGATTGTTTGACAGCCCCATTGCTAGCAGTATACCTTATTAGGTCGACCTCCACGTGGTTCCCCCTGGAAGCCATCGTGAACAATTCTTGTTGAATTCGTCACGATGGACTAACTGATCTGCTTCATCCTCACCTGTCATCTTTCACTGGTGACCCGCCAGTGTATACCAATACCGCGGGTGCGGTTACCATTCCATTATCATGCATTAAAAAAATCCCCGTATACGACGGCGCCGGTAGAAACTAATGGACGTATATTTTGTTTATGTCAACAGGGTGTGTCCAGCTATCAAACAGTCGCTCTTTTTTTTACCACTTTAAGTGATTGCTCTCAAGTTGATGGCAAGTGGTAAGTCTCACCTGTAAACATGGAAAGTGGATGGATATTACAAAATATGCTGTAACGGGGGAAAGGTATTGTTAGTAATGGAGACTGAGAATCCCATTGCTAGCAATATACCCAACCAGGTCGTCTTCCTCGCGGTTCTCCCTGGAAACTATCATGGTTAATTACTTGTGAATTCATCATGATAGGCTAACGGGTCTGTTCTCACTCTCATGGATCTTCACTGGTGCTCAGACAGCGTATCCCGTTAGCGCAGGCGGGGTTACTATACCATTTTCACCCATCAAAAAAAATATGCTGTAGACGTCATCCACCTCACGTGAACCACTCACATGAATGGTACCTGTTCCCGAGGACTCATAATTACGTGCATATATGTATGTATATGTGTATATATACAATTAAATATAATTAATTGGCTATGTATAAACTTAAGTTCTTTTTATTTGTAAATTGTCACAGTATTGTACACCGCTCTATCCGTCATTGATGCTCCTTTCCACTTTGGGTGTGCTAGAATTCTTGCAGAGTTAAGCTCGCCTTTGTATATTTTTTCCACTGTCATATTTCTGTATTATTTGTGTGTACAATAAAGTATAAATAAATAGTGAATTTAGAAAATTCACCAAATTGCATTGTCTATAAAAAAGTTGAAGATGCACAGCACCTATTGATGTAATGTGATGGGAACCGAAGGGAAAGGGAAACATTTTTAAAAACATTTAATATTAATAAATTTGATGTGGCGATTGTTCAGAGCATAATGCATGCTTCTACTACCAAAATTGCTTTGTGCTTAAGTGAATTAGTAAGTAGTATTGTTTAGTCATAATTACGAGATAATAGTAGTTAACTTGTTTAGATTTTATGGGATTGACATGTTAAAAAAAATCCCAAATTAAACGTAGACAAAAAAAATAGTGAATTTTATAATTTTGCTGGTAAAGCCCACCACTTAAATACCTGTTGTGCATCGCATCTATTTGTGCACTTTGTACAAAATTGGCTAGTTTTGTACAAAATATTTTAAAGAGTGAATAAGTATTTTTTTTTTAATAAATGTAGTAATTAATAAATAAAAACGTAAACCATTGTTATAACAAGATGATGCCCGCCTTTACTAAGAGCGTATTGAAAAGAAATCGATTGGTTTTGCTCCACCCCTCTTTGACTCTTCAAAACGATCTCGACCTTTATTCCCATATATAGACCATATAACAAAATTCCGTTCAAATATAAACCCTATTGTTATTAGTATAAAGAGGAAATGTTATAATTTTTGTTCTTTTGTGTGTTGCAACGTTGATGGATTTATTGGCGTTCGGGAGTTGGTATTTTATAATAAATATTTGATTTTTTTTTGGAAGTAGGTCAAACAAAGAGTGATAGCCATACTGCTGGTTCCGTGTATATATATGACGGTTGCCATTTTATATAATTTTGTATACATACTAACTATATCCTGTGGATTTACCCACGTGAAATAATAAATAAAGTATCCTATGTGTTAAGGTAGGGTATAACCCCTACAAGTGTTGGGGAAAAAGGGATTGATAGTAATGGAGACGGAGAATCCCATTGCTAGCAATATACCCAACCAGGTCAACCTCCTCGCGGTTCCCCCTAGAAACTATCATGGTTAATTCCTGATGAATTCATCATGATGGGCTAACTGGCCTGTTTTCATTCTCATCTATCATCCTTCACTGGTGCTCCGCCAGCGTATCCCGTTAGCGTAGGCGGGATTACCATTCCATTTTCATCCATCAAAAAAAAACCCCTACAAGTGTACCAAATTTGATTCAACTCCGTTCAATAGTTTATACGTGAAAGAGTAATAAATATCTATTTATTCTTTCACTATCCAAGCTATTCGTCTCTGGAATTCTTTACCTCTTTCCATTAGATCAGCACAATCTCTTGCCTTGTTCAAAAGGCAGGTAAAATCTCTTTACCTTTCTCTCTAATTTGCTTTGATATTGACTACGTGTGATCTACCTAATTCAAATTCAAATTCAAATTCAAAAATCATTTATTCATGTAGGACATTTTAGCCGCTTATGAACGTCAAATTTGTACATTATAATTTTATATTTACCCTACCGTCCAGTTCGGTATATAGATCCAATTGAGAAGAACTGGCAAGAAACTCAATTGAATTACTTTTTTTTTTTTAAAGCCAGTTTATTTACAATGTATATTTATATAGGTGTCTATGTCTAACATTAAATGAAAATTCAGTGCATGAACAACTATTGCCATGCACACTCGTCATTCAAGTAATCGTTTAGTGAGTAATAGGCTTTGCTCAGTAAATATGATTTAACAGATGTTTTGAATTTATTTAAGGGTAATTCCAACATATCCTTTGGTATCTTATTGTAAATTTTTATACCTATTCCCATAAAAGACCTATTAACTTTTTCTAAACGATACTTGGGGACAGCAAGTTTGTCTTTAAATCTAGTATTAATATTATGAATATTGCTGTTTTTTGGAAATAAGTCAAGATTTTTATGAACATATAGAATATTTGAATATATAAATTGAGAAGCAACGGTGAGAATATTTGCCTCTTTGAATTTCTCTCTTAATGAGTCACGACTCTTCATACAGTAGATCGCTCGAACGGCACGTTTTTGTAATATGAATATATTCTTAATATCTGCCGCTTGATCTATTTAGTATATTTATATCTATGTATTATTTTTTTTTATACAACTTAGAATGGCAAACAAGCTGACGGCCCACCTGATGGAAAGTGGTAACCGTCGCCTATAGACATGAGCAGTACCATGGCCAAAACAGAGTATACTGTTTCGTCCATGATACCCCTCATGCGTTGCCATTCCTGAGGACTAAGGTATTATGCCTCTGTACCCTGTAAATTCACTGTCATATCCCACCCTTCAAATTGAAATACAGTTATGCAAACATAACTGCTTCACGGTTGAAACGCGAATGGGCCAGAGGTACCCATGCAAACGACTTCTTCTTTCTTATACTTTATTGTACACAAAAAGGAACACACATATTAGAATAATATAATTGAACGGTGTGGACTGCCGTACGGTGAGCGTGGACTGTAGGGGCGTTGGTTCAGGCTGGAGTGAAACGCAGCGATTACTATTCTGAAGCCTCCGGTACCGTCTGAAGAGAGTATTTTTCTTCTTGTCCTATTTCTTCTCGAGTGTAGTGCGTCGCTGCTCGGAAGCGAATGCCGCTCGAGAGAGAAGGGTTCATCCGCAACCCTTTACAGGGTTGCAGGTGCGGGCCTCGGGTGTGCACCCTTTACCCGGGCGGTCTGCACAGGCTGCCGCCTGTGCGTCATTAATTTTCGACCCGTGGGGTCGAGCCGACGCTATTGTAAATAGCGTCGGCTGAGGGAATAAAGTGTGGGGGAAGAAAGAGCATTATATACTGTGTCGTCGACCGTGCAGGGCCGGTTTAACCGTCGCCCTGCTTTGTGCCTGCTGTGCGCAGGAGATCTCGCGGCAATGCGCGTGTCGCGTCCGGTGGGCGCGCGTGGAGCGGGGCTAGGTCCCTCAAGTGCGGGTGGTGGCTGGCGTCCGCCCGGCTGAACATTGTACGTGCCAGCCGGCGGACGAACTCTTCCACCGAGGGGACCGCGAGATCTCGGGCAATTACGTCGTTACGTACGTAACGACCCGCGTCTGCGCACATACGCAGAACGCAGTTCTGTTGCGCCTGCATGCGCCGCCTCTGTGCGTCGGAGCACAGCGCGTACCATGCGGGGGAGGCATACGTCAGCTGCGAACGAATATAAGTCTTGTATATGCCTATTTTCGTTCGCAGCGAGAGATTGGACTGTAGGACCGGTCGCAGCATGGCCCGCGCGGTCCTGGTCTGTGTGACCGCGCGGTTAACCTGTGCTGTCATGTGCAGCGACCGGTCGATCTCTACCCCTAGGTAACGCACTGTGCGCTCCCATGAGATGGGTGACCCACGGAGTTGGAGAGGCGGCGGATGATGTGAGCGGCTTCGAGTCAGTAGCGCTACCGTTTTCCCACATTAACGGAGGTGCGCCACTTATCGAGCCACTCTGGCAGGCGGTTCAACAGACGCTGCATTCTGCGTGCAGCGTAGTTGGCATTGGTCGACGACATGAAGTATGCACTGTCGTCGGCAAATAGAGCTAGGACGACATCGCTCTCTCCCTCGAGGAGCTCATCCCTCAAGGTGGGAATGTCGTCCGTGTACGTCGCGTATAGCGCTGGGGAAATGCAGCTGCCCTGCGGCACTCCGGCGGCAATTGGGTGGACGGCTGAGTCCACGCCCTCTACCGAAACATAAAAGTTCCGGCCTCGTAAGAAGTTGTCGATTACCCGCACGTAGGCTTGCGGCGTGCTAGTGTGCATCAACAGTTTGTACACTAGGCCGTCGTGCCACACGCGGTCGAACGCTTTCTCTATATCGAGAAAAACACCGACTACGCGTCGACCGCGGTTATGCTCGACGGCCATATGATGCAGCACGCGCGCAAGTTGGAGCGTGGTTGAATGGCCGCCCCTAAAACCGAACTGCTCGTCCCGTGGAGTGACGTACGGGTACAGCCGGCGGAGCAGCGCGCGCTCAAAGGTCTTCGCTACGTGCGGGAGGAGTGTTATCGGCCGGTAACTGGCCGGGAAACGTTTGTCTTTCCCGGCTTTCGGGAGGGCGATGACTCGGCCGAGTTTCCAATTTGATGGAAAGTGGCCGGTCCGGAGTATACCGTTGTAGAGCTTAGTAATAAATACTAAAGCTCTACGGGGCAGCTGGGCGAGTGCAGGCGTGGGTATTTTGTCCGCTCCGGGCGCTTTGCGCCTAGGTAGGCGCTCGATGATGCGCCTTACCTCGCCGGGCGAAACGAATTTAATCTCCGTTAAGTCCGGCGTCGGAGCGGTGTGAAACTCGCCCACGCGACGTACAACGCGCTCATGGTGCTCGACGACAGTGCTGGGTGCGTCGGCGGCTACCGGATTGGCAGTGAACTGCCCCTCCAGGTGGTTGGCCAGGATTTCTGCCCGGTCAATGGCTGCGTAACGACGTCTGCCCGTTTCATCGAACAACGGACAGACGGGGGGTCGTGCCTTAGTGAGCTGTCGGTTAAGGGCGTACAGGGTGAACTGGTGTTCACCCGCGTGGGAGATGACACCCTCCCACGAGGAGCCACGCCAGTCGCGGACTCCTTCCGACAGCTCCGCAGCGAGACAGTTAAGCTCACGCTTGACCCGTGGACAACGGGTGCGGGCCCATAGGCGGCGGCGGAGTGACGGGACTCTATGCACGAGTGCTATGTCCAGAACGTCTGGATAGTGTCTACGATTCGTGGGAATGTGTGTTGCTCTGTAGCCGTGACTGTCTGCGTCACGGAGGAGTCCATCGGAGGGGCGGCCGGGGGGCGATAGGCGGCATATACTCAGTTCCGCGCCGTCGATGTTAATGCTCACTCCTATGAGCGCATGTGAGGAGCGCCAACTGCATGCGATGTCGCGGCGGACCAGTACGGCAGTGCCACGGTATGCCGCACCGGCCGGGACCGCTCGTCCCGTCTGTACACAAAGGGAGTATGATATGCACATCCTGGGTTTGAGCAAGGAGACGGAGGCCTTGTACCTTATCCTTTATCCCCGGGGTTCCAGTACAGGACGCGGAGAGAATTACTCCGCGACTCTGTACTGGCTAATTTTGGCCAATCCGGCGAGAGCCGCCGACTTTATGTCCTCACCGGCCGCTAGGGCCGTTAGGAGATCTGTGAGGAGCCCTATTATTAGTGTTAGGGCTCCATTGTCAGTTATTATAGGTAAATCGCGCGTCTGTTGTGAACGTAGTGAACGTAGTTTTTTGCGCGACAACTTATCACTCAAGTGTGCCGGCAACTCGACTCGGCGGCGAGCTGCCGAGTGTATGGTAGTTGTGGCCGCCTCTAGGGCGCTTTGAATGCGCTCCTGTATATCGATAGAGGCGGCCTCTATTCCCTCAGGCGTGGAAAAGTCGCCGTCGAGAGGAATATGCTGGAGGCTTGAGCGATAAGCCGTCCAGTTGGTACTCCGCCGCTCAGACCTGTGCGATGCGGTGACGACCGCACCTAGGTCAAGCGTGGCTAAAACTGGGAGGTGTTGTGTGTCCAAGTCGTACAACACCTCCATATTGACCGGGCAGGGCACTCTATGCACGAGTGCTATGTCCAGAACGTCTGGATAGTGTCTACGATTCGTGGGAATGTGTGTTGGGTGTGCGGGTCCCAACACTTCGTAGCCGTGACTGTCTGCGTCACGGAGGAGTCTAGTACCCACAGGCGATGTCACCCGGCTTCCCCAAGTCGGGTGTTTGGCGTTAAGATCGCCCATGAGTAATGTGGGACTCCTACCGTCCAGTACGTTCCGGACATCGGAGGGGCAGAATTCTCTGACCGGGGGGCGATAGGCGGCATATACTCTCAGTTCCGCGCCGTCGATGTTAATGCTCACTCCTATGGAGCGCATGACGCGGAACTCGGGGAGCGCCAACTGCATGTGTACGATGTCGCGGCGGATCAGTACGGCAGTGCCACGGTATGCCGCACCGGCCGGGGACCGCTCGTCCCGTCTGTACACAAAGTAGTTGGGCACCCGCAACGTCTCCTTGGGAGCCAACTTGGTCTCCCCCAGGAGTATGATATGCACATCCTGGGTTGTGGCGGCTAGTGCGGTCTTCACGCTACGCACCAGCCGTTCCCACGCACCTCCCATGAAGGGTGCGCTCGGGGGAATGTAGCGCCACCGGATAAAGTGGACTGATGACTCTTCTTGGATGGCTTCCTCGGCTGCTTTCTTTAGTTCGACGTCGGCACCTTTGAGATTGGTGCCTTGGTCGGACCATAGCTCAGCGGGACACCCTCTGCGGCTTATGAAGCGCCGCAGGGCCATTATGGCGAAGTCCGTGCTGAGGCTGCCGGCGATTTCTAGGTGGACTGCGCGCGTCGTTAGGCAGGTGAAGAGCACTCCGTACCGCTTCTGGTGAGTGCGGCCCACTGTCACGGTCATAGGCCCGAAGTAGTCTAGGCCGGTGAACGTGAACGGTCGCTGATGATGCGCCAGCCTGCTCTGCGGATGGTTGCCCGTTGACGGCTGCGCCGGTCTTGCTCTTCGTAGACGGCACAGCTGACACCTCTTCAGTTCACTGCGGACGGCGTGTCGTAGGCGCAACACCCACAAGTGTTGTCGCACCTCGTTCGTGGTGATTTCGAAGCCGCCGTGGTGAAGTTTCCGATGCACCCATGCGATGTATAGGCGCACCCAGGCGTGGTTTCCGTCGACGATGGGGGGCTCTCGTTGCTCGGCTGACAGATCGGCGGCGGCTGCTATTCTCGATCGAAGTCGCAGAATGTCGTCGTTGTCTATGACGACCGACAGCTGTATGAGTCGACTGGATGACGGCAGCTGTTTTCCTCGTTTCAATGCTGCGATTTCGTCGCCGAACGCCTCTTGTTGTATCGCGCGAATCCATAGCCGTCGCGCGCGATCTAGGTAATGTGTGTCTATGGGGATGAAACACACAGATGGACTATTGCTGTTCTTGATTTTCATCTTCATCTTCTCTCTATCGACTTTCTTCGTGCGGGTCCAAGTGGGGTCGGCGCTCTCTTTCTTCTTGTTTCTCTTTCGGGCGGCCGCGCAGCGTTGACTGGTCGGTCGCAGGAGGTCGATGAACTGCAATACCCGTGCTGAACTGCGTACAAGTTTCAACCAATTAGAAAAACGTGACGGATCGGGTAATGCTATAGACAACTGCGTCGCGTTCTGTAGCTTGTGTACGCGTTCTTCTCCCGTTTCCGCTTGACTATCGTCGCTCGTACTATCTTCACGCGGCCACTGTTCTTCATTTTTGTCGAAATTCCTTTCGACCAGTTGGAGACGTCGCATCGCTGATTCATAGTTGTCCGGCGGCACAGGGTCGTCCTTCTTCCATAGTAACCCCGTCTCGTATCCTCCCGCCGGTAACGGACGAGTTTTCTCCTCTAAAATGCGTAGGGCGCGACGTTCCTCTTCATTGTAAGACCTCTTCGGTGCGATCCCCGGTGATTCGGGCGCGAAATGTTGCTTCATCATTTCTTCCATCGATTGTTCCTCTTCATGTGTCGTCACTATGTGGCTGTTTCTATGCACCTGCTGTCTTGCCCTGCCGCGACTCGTACCGTGCAATACCCATCCCAGGTCGGTGAGTGATGCGACCGGCTGCGTGTCGGATCCTCTTCTGACTTCGTGGGCCAGCAGTAGGTGCCAGTTGTCTTGCCCCAACAGTACCGTCGGTTTGCCCTCTTCGTAGACCAACTCCCTCTCTATGTCTCGTAGATGTGGACAGCCCTTGATGACGCTGCGCGGTACCGACTGCGGTGATAACTGCAGTCTGTCCATCGTCCGTGCCCCCACTGTGTATTCTTGTGAATTCCGCCCGCGGATCTTGAAGTGAACACGCGTCGATTGAGCTGCGTTGATCCGTGCCCCGGCCACACCTTCCATGTAGAATGGTGCGGGGGGACCCGTAGCACCGATTCGCTCCGCCACCGCCGTCTCGATGATGGTGCAAGTCGACCCGTCGTCCAGTAGCGCGTAGGTGTCGCACGTTCCCGTGGGACCGGTGACTCGTATCGGCAGGATCTTCAGGAACGCGATCTTGTCGTTTTCCCTTGCCGATGCGGCGACTGCGGCGGACTTGTCCTCGACGACGTGCGTTGTTACTTCATTCTCCGGCTGTTGTCGCGTGGTGTGCAGCAGAGGGTGATGAGTCTGCGTGCACTCATTTACTCCACATCTCTTGCTCTTGCAGGCGTGGCGAAATCTTCTCACTTTGAGGCAACGGAAACACAGCCTATGAGTCTTCGCTAGCTCCCATCTCGCCGATGTGTCCGCTTCTTTCAT